TTAAAAATAAATAAACAGCTTAAAAAAATATATTTTTTTTCTTTTAAAAATTTTATTTTTTGTAAATTTTTGTAACAAAAATAAAATTAAAACAAAATAAATTAAAAAAATAATATCTTCTATAATAAGAAAAATATATTTATCATTAAATATATATTTGCATATTAGATTAGAGAGACAAAATAATAATAAAAAATATAATATTAATTAGTATTTATATAAAAAATGTTAGTATGGCTAAGCAACATTAGATTATAAAATAAAAAAATAAATAACAACAAAATATTAATATTAAAAAATAAAAAAAAAATTAAACAACATAAGTATTAATTAATAATATGCATATACATATATATAAAAATATAAAATAATGAAATGTTTATGTTATTACAAAAAGAAAGAAAGAAAAAAAAACTGATGATTGCGAATGAAATAAAACAAAGAGAAAAATGGAAAATAAAAAATAAAATAAAAACTGTGTTTTTTATTACAAGGAAGGGAGGGAAGAATGAAAAAACAAGATGTGGATTGTTCACGTAGCGAACATGGTTTTTAAATAATAAAGATAGTGAATGTCTTGTTGTGGATCTCTTGTGTAAAGGAGAGAAAATTTAGTTAAACAGGGATCTACTTTTGTCTACAGTCCACTTGAGATAAGCGATTATTTTGGTTGAATGTTGAAAAATAAGATGTGATTTTATATAGCCACATGGGGTATGTTTGGGTGAGATTACGGGGAGTAATATTCACTACAGATTGATAAGCAAGTCTAGCGTACTTGCCACATGTGAGATAAATAATTGTGTGTGTCCACTCCATGTGTTATGACAGATGCACTCTCTCTCTATTTTACACATTAGTCTAAGATAGGTTAAGTCATATTGTAATACTTAGTTCTTAACGATCACTTTTTATTTTAATAAATTAGTGTGTAAATGCACTGTAAAAGATGCAGACGTGCTATCACTCCGCGGACAATATCCGCGTCAACTAGAACAGATCCCCCTTTTTTCAGGATTTCTTCAAAAAATTGTTTAAATAATCCACGCCTTCTATAGTGTTGTGATATATAGTAGTAGGCTCTCCCCATCAGTTGGACCGTAACGGTAATGGCACTTCATTGAGTTGTTGTTGTCTTCACCAGAAACACATTCCGATACAAAAACAGCTCCCCTCTTGCGCTCAGCAAACTCCTTTTGCTCGTCGTATATCTACGCCTATTTTTATACCCTCCACCATAGTATGGAGGGTATATTAGTTTTGTTTTCCGTTTGTAACGCATCGAAATAATCATTTCCGACCCTATAAAGTATATATATTCTTGATCAGCGTAAAATTCTAAAAATTCTGTCTTTTGTAATCACTCTAGCGTCTAAACGAATTGAGATACAGCCCCAAAATTTTGCATAGAGTCTTTTGTCTGCAGGCAGGTCAAGTTCGAAGATGGACTATATCGGTCCACGTTTAGGCATAGGTCCCATATAAGGGTACCCCCCAATTTTTGGTATTTTGAGGTTCTTGAGTGCGTTTTTCATCGTATTCGCTGAAATTTAGTACTTTGAGTTCTTATTGGGTTGCAAATCTCCCCACAAAAAATTATAAATATAGGTAAATTTTTTCGGACAGCCCCCATAAAAGGGTACCCCAATTTTCGGTATTTTGAGGTTCTTGAGCGCGTTTTTCAACCGAATTCGCTGAAATTTGGTATATTGGGTTCCTATTGGGTACTAAATGTCTCCACAAAAAATTATAAATATAGGTCCATATTTTCGGATAGCCTCCATATAAGGGTACCCCCAATTACCGGTATTTTGGGGTTCTTGAGCGCGTTTTTAACCGAATTTTCTGCCATTTGGTATTTTGTAGTCGTATATGGTAACAAATCTCCCTACCAAAAATTATTAATATACGCCCCCTTTTTCACATATATAACCTCATTTTTATATTAAAATAGATATCTGATTTGTTCCGCGTTTTGAGCTTGGATCTAAGACTCTGTTGTAATAATTTCTCCTGCGGAGGATAGGGAGATAAAAAATGATAACGTAAGGTTCGATAATGAACTATAGCCGCATTTAGAGCTAGCCCCTGTGAGGAGGTTCCAGAAGGAGTGGACCGATATTCCCCATCTTTAAATTTGAATTAAGTTTGGAAGAAATAAAAAGATGGGCAAAGTTTGCATGAAATCTAAAATGAAATGAAAACAAACGTGTTAAAGTGTATACACCCTCTTAAGCCATAAGACTGAGGGTATATTTATCCATTAAAAATTTCTGAAATTTGTATTATGGTTTACATTATGGTTTACATAATCCGCTTTTAGAAATATCGGTATAGGTCCACTTTTTGGTATGTTCCCTATATTTTCATTGCATGTATCTGTCAGTATAACTATGGTGGAGGGTATCCAAAGTTCGGCCCGGCCGAACTTAACGCTTTTTCACTTGTTCATATTTAGCGCTTCATTGTAAACCGTAAAAATTGCCTAGCAAGTTCTACAAACAACACACAATTCACTGTGAGCTTACACCTTCCATTCCGCCAGAGACTTCTTGTAAACAAATTACGCATCAATTCGTAGTCACACCGTTAGGCAAAAACATAATGCTCTTGCTTGCATTGTTGTTGTCAAACACATCTCAAACGGTGTACGCATGCTCGTGGGAATTTCTCTGCTCAACCTTTTTCCTTGCCTGCAGTCTCTGCTCCCACTACTTGGGGACGTGTGTTACTGACACACAGGTAACACATTATCGCTGGTTTTCGACACACGAGAAACCACGATCTGCTGGAGGGACACACTTCTCCAGAGAACTGCCGGTTACTACTTAGTATATTTCTCCATCAGAGTGATGCTGAGCGTACAGTATTTATCCCCTTCAGAGTTCTCCTGGGCATACTTTTCTTCTTGTTCACTGCGATTCTGGTTCTTAGCTATGTCTAGATTTTCTTCTGTACCTAGAGTGCTCCTGGGCCCATAACCTGTTGAAAGTCTTTTATTCTTGCTCTAATCTCGCTTGTCAAATAAAAGACGTCTGATTCGTGTGGTTGCTGTTTACAAAGTGATTTTTATTTACAACTTACATCTACTTAGGTACCCTTAACTAAGAATGTTCTTATCTAGAATGTGTGGTTTCGTACTTTGCGATCACAACGCTATCCAGCGTGCTGAGTGAACGACTGAAGCCAATGGTCAATTACATTATTGGACCATACCAATGCGGCTTCAGACCTGGCAAATTCACCATTGACCAGATTTTCACTCTGCGTCTCAAATCCTGGAAAAACCCACGAAAAACAAATCGACACATTCCACCTATTCGTCGACTATAAAGCCGCATTCGACAGCCCTATTCGTTCAGCGGTGCATAAAGCCATGTCTGCGTTTGGCATTCCTGCAAAATTAATTCGGCTATGCAGAATAACATTAATAGGCACAAGATCAGCAGTTAAAGTCGGAAGGGACCTCTCGAAGTCCTTTAATACCGAACGAGGATTTAGACAAGGTGACAGTTTGTCGTGTGTTTTTTTTTCACATCTGGAAAAGGTCATACCAGACGCAAAGGTGAACAGAAATGACACTCTCTACACCAAACAACACATGTTACTCGCCTACGCCGATGAGATCGATATAATGGGTCGAACATTGCGAGCGGTAACAGCCACCTTTGAACAAATTGAAATGGAGTCTGCCAAAGTGGGTCTGGCAGTAAACGGCGAGAAGACCAAGCTGATGGTATCAACGCGCAAGACGTCCTGTAGACTCGGACCAACTGTGGAACTTGAGAACTACAGCTTCGAGGTAGTTAAAGACTTTATATACCTTGGTACCGCCATAAATAAAACGAATAATATCAGTTTTGAAATTCGGAGAAGGATTGTGATGGCCAACCGATGCGACTATGGTCTGAGCAAACAACTCAAAAGCAAGGCCACCTCCCGCCAGACCAAATTCACACTCTACAAGACGCTGATACTACCCGTGCTGTTATACGAATCTGAAGCATGGGTACTTGCGAAAGCAGATGAGGAGCAGCTCTTGAAGTATTTGAGAGAAAAATTCCCCGAAAGATATATGGGCCGATCTGCATTGACGGTGAATATCGCCGTCGAATGAACCATGAGTTGTACCAGCTATACTCGGACATCGACATTGTTAGACGTATTGAGCTGCAGCGACTACGTTGGCTAGGTCATGTTGTGAGAATGGATGAAGATGCCCCAGCCCAGAAGGCATATAAAAGCGAACCAGCTGATGGTTCACGCAGAAGGGGAAGGCCAGCAATACGTTGGAAAGATCAAGTCGAAGACAACATCGCTGAAAATGGTCTTTCAAATTGGAAAAACTGCGCAAAAGACCGATGCGCCTGGAAATCTTTTCTAAGCTCAGCTTATGGAACGAAAGTTCTGTCACAAGCCTGCTAAGTAAAGAAGTTATAAGCGTTTTACTAATGGTTTTGTTTATAAAGAGAGCAAAATTACTCCGTTAGCTACTTACGCCCTCAATTCAATGAAGAGGTTTGTATGTAGTCTTTCTCATTAAGATGGCAACATGCTTAACGACATTTTAAATTTTGAACGTGAGTATGGTTCGACAAATACAAATTATCTTTCAGCGATTGGTATTTAGAAGAGCAGATAGGTAGAATAGAAAAAATTTATAATTCATGCCACCCTATTGTTTGAAGAAATGAAATAATGGTCTACTCACCTTCTGCACATTCCACAAAAATGTAGATAATCCTCCTTGGAATTTCTTTTACGTCGATGCCACGAAGAAAATCAGCTTTCTTAAGCATTTAAAGAATTCACTTTTTGGCTGACCGGTCATCATCTCGAACATCTATAAAAGGGAAAGGTGGGATAGCCATTACTGTTAGTTCAAGTTACAACGGAATTTTAAATACTGACGGATATAAAAAGTGTTGAGCGCAAAAAGAAAAGAAAAATGTGGGAAAAATAACTGAAGGAAATTGTGTCCTTAAAAAATTAAAAAAAAAATGGATTCAATGGAAAGATTTGTTGCAATAGGACCAGAACCGTATGCAAATTATCACAATGGGTAATCCAACATCTCGAAGATATTTTGGAACGCCTGAAAAAATATTTTAATTTTCTCCAGCTCCTCCCTTCCATCGCCAAATGTGGCCGCTCCTCCCAATTTGGGCTGGCACTTCCCCATGGAATATCAACACTTAATTCATGAACATTGGCGTTCATTCCCGGCCCCGCAGATTTATTATCAGGCCTTCTTGTTTATGGCCTTTGTGGCTATGCTGTTGTGCTCCCTATTCGGCAATGGTTTGGTATTGTGGATATTTTCAACGTAAGTTTTTGGAGGGTTTCTAAAAATTCCGATAAATAAATTATTAAATTATTAATATTTATTAATTTTTTTAAGGTCAAAAAATTTACGCACCCCCTCAAATTTGTTGATCATAAATTTGGCAATTTTCGATTTGATAATGGCCCTGAATATGCCACATTATATGATTAATGCGGTGCTGGGTTATTTTTGGGGTGGTGAACTAGGCTGTGATATTTATGCCGTGATTGGTGGGATCTCGGGCCAAGGAGCAGCAGTGACAAATGCCTTTATTGCCTATGATCGGTACAGGTAAGTGGGGGGGAGGCGTGGATTTTTTAAATAATTTTTTCCAAGGTCTACACAAGGCATGGATTATTTAAATAATTTTTTCCAAGGTCTACACAAGGCGTGGATTTTTTAAATAATTCTTTCCAAGGTCTACACAAGGCGTGGATTTTTTAAATAATTCTTTCCAAGATCTACACAAGGCGTGGATTTTTTTAAATAATTCTTTCCAAGGTCTACACAAGGCGTCGATTTTTTAAATAATTCTTTCCAAGGTCTACACAAGGCGTGGATTTTTTAAATAATTTTTTCCAAGGTCTACACAAGGCGTGGATTTTTTAAATAATTTTTTCCAAGGTCTACACAAGGCGTGGATTTTTTAAATAATTTTTTCCAAGGTCTACACAAGGCGTGGATTTTTTAAATAATTTTTTCCAAGGTCTACACAAGGCGTGGATTTTTTAAATAATTTTTTCCAAGGTCTACACAAGGCGTGGATTTTTTAAATAATTTTTTCCAAGGTCTACACAAGGCGTAGATTTTTAAAAGAATATTTTCCAAGGCGTAGATTTTTAAAAGAATATTTTCCAAGGCGTAGATTTTTAAAAGAATATTTTCCAAGGCGTAGATTTTTAAAAGAATATTTTCCAAGGCGTAGATTTTTTAAATAATTTTTTCCAAGGCGTGGATTTTTTAAATAATTTTTTCCAAGGCGTGGATTTTTTAAATAATTTTTTTTAAGGTCTACACAAGGCGTGGATTTTTTAAATAATTTTTTCCAAGGTCTACACAAGGCGTGGATTTTTTAAATATTTTTTTTTAAGGTCTACACAAGGCGTGGATTTTTTAAATAATTTTTTCCAAGGTCTACACAAGGCGTGGATTTTTTAAATAATTTTTTCCAAGGTCTACACAAGGCGTGGATTTTTTAAATAATTTTTTCCAAGGTCTACACAAGGCGTGGATTTTTTAAATAATTTTTTCCAAGGTCTACACAAGGCGTGGATTTTTTAAATAATTTTTTCCAAGGTCTACACAAGGCGTGGATTTTTTAAATAATTTTTTCCAAGGTCTACACAAGGCGTGGATTTTTTAAATAATTTTTTCCAAGGTCTACACAAGGCGTAGATTTTTTAAACAACTTTTTCCAAGGTCTACACAAGGCGTGGTTTTTTTAAATAATTTTTTCCAAGGTCTACACAAAGCGTGGATTTTTTAAATAATTTTTTCCAAGGTCTACACAATGCGTGGATTTTTTAAATAATTTTTTCCATGGTCTACACAAAGCGTGGATTTTTTAAATAATTTTTTCCAAGGTCTACACAAGGCGTGATTTTTTTAAATAATTTTTTCCAAGGTCTACACAAGGCGTGAATTTTTTAAATAATTTTTTCCAAGGTCTACACAAGGCGTGGATTTTTTAAATAATTTTTTCCAAGGTCTACACAAGGCGTGGATTTTTTAAATAATTTTTTCCAAGTACTACACAAGGCGTGGATTTTTTAAATAATTTTTTCCAAGGTCTACACAAGGCGTAGATTTTTTAAATAATTTTTTCCAAGGTCCTAAGGAGGCGTAGATTGTTTAAATAATTTTTTCTAAGGTTCTTTGCGGGCGTAGATTGTTTAAATAATTTTTTCTAAGGTCTACACAAGGCGTGGATTTTTTAAATAATTTTTTCCAAGGTCTACACAAGGCGTGGATTTTTTAAATAATTTTTTCCAAGGTCTACACAAGGCGTGGATTTTTTAAATAATTTTTTCCAAGGTCTACACAAGGCGTGGATTTTTTAAATAATTTTTTCCAAGGTCTACACAAGGCGTGGATTTTTTAAATAATTTTTTCCAAGTACTACACAAGGCGTGGATTTTTTAAATAATTTTTTCCAAGGTCTACACAAGGCGTGGATTTTTTAAATAATTTTTTCCAAGGTCTACACAAGGCGTGGATTTTTTAAATAATTTTTTCTAAGGTCTACACAAGGCGTGGATTTTTTAAATAATTTTTTCTAAGGTCTACACAAGGCGTGGATTTTTTAAATAATTTTTTCCAAGGTCTACACAAGGCGTGGATTTTTTAAATAATTTTTTCCAAGGTCTACACAAGGCGTGGATTTTTTAAATAATTTTTTCCAAGGTCTACACAAGGCGTGGATTTTTTAAATAATTTTTTCCAAGGTCTACACAAGGCGTGGATTTTTTAAATAATTTTTTCCAAGGTCTACACAAGGCGTGGATTTTTTAAATAATTTTTTTTAAAGGTCTACACAAGGCGTGGATTTTTTAAATAATTTTTTTTAAAGGTCTACACAAGGCGTGGATTTTTTAAATAATTTTTTTTAAAGGTCTACACAAGGCGTGGATTTAATAATTAAATAATTTTTCTCTTTTCAGAACCATCTCCAATCCCATAGATGGCCGTTTAAATTTCCCTCAAATAATAATTATTATTACAATGACCTGGCTATGGACCACACCATTTTCGGTGTTACCCTTGTTTCACATTTGGGGACATTATATACCAGGTGGGTCCACACATTACCCCATAATTTATTTTTGATTTAAATTTCCTCTTCTACCCACAGAGGGTTTCCTGACCAGCTGCTCTTTTGATTATCTCTCGCAGGATGATGAGACACGTTACTTTGTCCAGTCGATGTTCGTGTGGGCCTATTGCATTCCGATGGTTATTATCTGCGTCTATTACACCAAGTTATTCCTCCATGTAAGGGATCATGAAAAAATGCTGGCCGATCAGGCGAAGAAGATGAACATAAAATCCTTGTCGGCCAATCAAAATGCCATGAGTGTTGAGATACGAATTGCCAAGGCCGCAATGACCATCTATATGATGTATGTCTTCTCATGGACCCCCTATGCCACTGTGTCGCTGTTGGGTACCTTTAACTATCGTCATATGATAACTCCGTTCGCTTCGATGATACCATGCTGTTGTGCGAAATTGGTGTCCTGCTTGGATCCTTGGGTTTATGCAGCCAGTCATCCGAAATATCGACTGGAATTGGAGCGACGTCTGCCCTGGTTGGGTATTCGGGAAAGGAATGCGGCACCCTCGGTGAATAGTGGCAGTGGTAGTGATGGTTGTGATTCGGAGACTGGTACCATATCGGTGACAAATTGTTGATGGAGGACTCATTTTGAAAAAATTTAAAAAAAAACTAAAAGCAATGAATTTATAAAAATTCCAAAAATCCAAAAAAAAATCAAAAAACAAAGCAATAAGTCCAAATAAGGGACTTCAAAAATCCAAAAAAAAAAAAATACATTTAAGTGCAGCATTAAACCGATTCTCAATCATTTACAAATGTGTAAAAACGGCCACGATTCATTCTAAAAGGTTTGGATATAGGCTACACACGTAAACTCTACATTGCCAACCATAAAATTAAATCACTGCGTTGCCAATTCGAAGGAGACTAATGGTCTGTTCCCGTACTGCAAGAATCTACTATTTTTTACTCCGATAACACTTTTTTCCTTTATGATATCGAAGAAAATAGTAAAATCTTGTAGATTCTTGCAGTACGGGACCAGACCATAAACTACCAGCAGAGCAGAGACTTAGAACCAATTTGATACGTTGTGTAAAAATTTCAAAAAATAATAGGAGTTTGGTGCACCATTTAGGTAAAATCGGACGAATATATATATGTATATGTGGGAGCTGTATCGAAATCTGAACCGATTATTTCGAAATCGCACATATCACTCTAGACTCAATTCAGTGCGCTATGCTAAATTTCGTGCAAATCGAAAGATATATATAGGAACTTTGGTGCACCATTTACATAAAATCGGACGAAAATGAATATGGGAGCTATACCTAAATCTGAACCGATTTTCACGAATCTTAACACTCATCGTTCTAGTCTTAATTCAATAGGCTATGCAAAATTTAGTGCAAATCGAAAGTTATTTAGGGCCTCTGGTGCACCATTTACCTATAATCGGACGAAAATATATATAGGAGCTAAATCGAAATCTGAACCGATTTTCACGAATCTTAACACTCATCTTTCTAGTCTTAATTCAATATGCTATGCAAAATTTAGTGTAAATCGAAAGTTATTTAGGGCCTCTGGTGCACCAATTAAATAAAATCGGACGAAAATATATAAGGGAGCTAAATCAAAATCTGAACCGATTTTCACGAAATTTAACACAAATCGTTCTACACCTAATTCAGTACCCTATGCCAAATTTCGTGCAATTCGAAGGATATATAGTGGCCCATTTACATAAAATCGGTAGAAAATATATAAGGGAGCTAAATCGAAATCTGAACCGATTTTCACGAAATTTAATACACATCGTTGTATACTTAATTCAGTACCCTATGCCAAATTTCGTGCAAATCGAAGGATACAAAGGTACTTTGGCGCCCCATTTACCTTAAATCGGACGAAATATATATGGGAGCTATATCTAAATCTGAGCCGATTTTCTCAGAACTTACCGCACATCATTCTAGACCTAATTTAGTACGCCATACCAAATTTCGTGCAAATCGAAAGATATATGGGGACTTTGGCGCCCCATTTACCTTAAATCGGACGAAATATATATGGGAGCTATATCTAAATCTGAGCCGATTTTCTCAGAACTTACCGCATATCATTCTAGACTTAATTTAGTACGATATACCAAATTTCGTGCAAATCGAAAGATATATGGGGACTTTGGTGCCCCATTTAACTTAAATCGGACGAATATATATGGGAGCTATATTTAAATCTGAGCCGATTTTCTAGGAACTTACCGCACATCATTCTAGACTTAATTTAGTACGCCATACCAAATTTCGTGTAAATCGAAGGACACAAAGGGACATTGGTGTACTATTTACCTAAAATCGGACGAAATATATATGGGAGCTTTATCTAAATCTGAGCCGATATTCACGAAACTTAGCACACACCATTGTGGGCCTAATTCAGTACCCTATGCTAAATTACGTGCAAATCGAAATATTTATAGGGATTTTGATGCCTATATCGGACGAAAATATATATGGGAGCTATATCAAAATCTGAACCGATTTTCACCAATTTCAATAGGGTTCGTCCTTGGGCCAAATAAACGAGCTGTGCCAAATTTTATCCAATTCGGATCATAAATGTGACCTGTATTTTGTTTACAATTTAACATCGGAGAAAGAGAATTTAGAATTTAGACGGAGAGACGGAGAGACGTACGGTCATGCATAAATCGACTCAGAAAATGATTCTATGCATATTCTCAAAAGGAACAATGTGTCTATCTTGTTTCCTTTTGCCTGTTACAAACATATGCACAAAGACATAATACCCTGAACCACCATGTGGTGAAGGGTATAAAAAGGGGGTTATATGGGGACTACCCCAAAAAGGAGGCGAATATTAATAATTTTTAGTGGGGAGATTTGTTACGATATACGACTACAAAATACCAACTTGCAGCGAAATCGATTGGAAAACGCGCTCAAGAACTCCAAAATACCGAAAAATAGGGTACCCTTATATGGGTGCTATCTGAAAAAATTTACCCATATTGATAATTTTTTGTGGAGAGATTTGGGTACAAAATCTCCATTTCAAAGTAACAATTGATAATCGATATCTCGATGTATCGATAGTCGACTTATATCACCCTTGCTTGAAAAACATCTGTAAGCCCAACACATGTTCGATTTTTTGCTCTCTGACCAACTGTGGCCATTCTCGATCTATTGATCCCTGTAACTTGGCTGTTTTGGTAACAACTGAAGAGTCACAAGTCAACTTCTAATTTTTCTTAGAAGTTATCACTGAAAATTCCATAAAAATGTACAAATTAATATTCCAACAATTAAGGCAAATATCCAGGACGGCCACTAGGCCAATAAGACCGAGTGCAGCCTTGGCTACCACACAAAATAACTCCGAGGAAAAAATCGATGTGACCAAGGCCTTAGAAGGTTGGGATGAAAAGTTACGATTAAGCGAAGTGGGTGATATTGAATTCAATTTGAAATGCATCGTTGCCAAGGTGTTAAATCGTAAATTCGTAAGTATGGAACTGCTAATTTAATTATCGATTGATTTATGTAATAATGCACCCACCCTCTTTAGAACACCTTGACGAGTTATCACAATGTCCAATTCAATAGGGAGCAATTGAAAGAATTTGAACGCCTCTGTGAGGCAAGATGTGCCCGTATGCCATTGCAACACATTGTGGGAGAATGGGACTTTATGGACATCACGCTGAAAACAGCTCCCACGGTATTTATACCCCGTCCAGAGACTGAAGAATTTGTATCCAAGGTAATCAGTGTATATCGTAATGTAATGGAACCGTTGGATATGCTGGAAGTTGGCTGCGGCTCGGGAGCCATGTCATTGGCCATTCTGCATGCTTTGCCAAATGTCCGGAGTACAGCTGTGGAACGTAGTAAAGCTGCGACGGCCTTGGCTTGGGAAAACGCCAAACGTTTGAATTTACAGGATCGCTTTAAAGTCTATAATCACACAACAGCGGAAAATGATTATTTACCCAAGGAACTGGATGGACGGAAATTTGATCTTATCATTTCTAATCCGCCCTATGTGAAGACTGAAGAATTTGCTTTACTCCAGCCGGAAGTGAAATTGTAAGATCCAATATCCAAAAGTAACAACATAACCTATGTAGATGCTTGTGTGTGTGTGTTATACTAAATGTTGTTAAGATCCGTCCGTCCCTACAAACATCAAGTCTATCCCAAGCGTGGATTTTTAAGAGAATTTTTCAAAGTCCATCCCAGGCGCGGATTTTTAAAAAACAAATGTTGAAACTCTATCCCAGGCGTGGATTTTTAAAAACTAAATTTTGAAAGTCTATCTCAGGCGTAGATTTTTAAAAACTAAATTTTGAAAGTCTATCTCAGGCGTAGATTTTTAAAAAATAAATTTTGATTTTTAAAAACTTCTTTTTCAAGCCCTAAAAATGGCCGTGGATTTTTAAAAACTACTTTTTCAAGCCCTAAAAATGCCGTGGATTTTTAAAAACTACTTTTTCAAGTCCTAAAAATGGGCGTAGTTTTTTAATCTACTTTTTCAAGTCCAACAAAATGTTAAAAAAATTTAAATTAAAAAAATTAATTTTAAAAAATCCACGCCTTATTGTGGCCACTTTTAAAAAAACAATTTTGAAACTCTATCACAGGCGTTGATTTTTAAATAATAATTTTTTGAGAGTCTATCTCAGGCGTAGATTTTTAAAAAATAAATTTTGAAAGTCTATCTCAGGCGTAGATTTTTAAAAAATAAATTTTGATTTTTAAAAATTACTTTTTCAACCCCTACAAATAGGCGTGGACTTTTAAAAACTACTTTTTCAAGCCCTAAAAATGGCCGTGGATTTTTAAAAACAACTTTTTCAAGTCCAACACAAATTAATTTTAAAAAATTTAAATTAAAAAAAAATAAATTTAAAAAATCCACGCCTTATTGTGGCCCTATTGAAAAATTAATTTCAAAAAAATCCACGCCTTATTGTGGCCCTATTGAAGAATTAATTTTAAAAAAATCCACGCCTTATTGTTGCCCTATTGGAAAATTAATTTTAAAAAAATCCACGCCTTATTGTGGCCCTATTGAAAAATTAATTTTAAAAAATCCACGCCTTATTGTGGCCCTATTGAAAAATTAATTTTAAAAAATCCACGCCTTATTGTGGCCCCACTGGTAAAAAATAATTTCAAAAAAATCCACGCCTTATTGTGGCCCTATTGAAAAATTAATTTTAAAAAATCCACGCCTTATTGTGGCCCTATTGAAAAATTAATTTTAAAAAATCCACGCCTTATTGTGGCCCTATTGAAAAATTAATTTTAAAAAATCCACGCCTTATTGTGGCCCTATTGAAAAATTAATTTTAAAAAATCCACGCCTTATTGTGGCGCTATTGAAAAATTAATTTTAAAAAATCCGCGCCTTATTGTGGCCCTATTGAAAAATTAATTTTAAAAAATCCACGCCTTATTGTGGCCCTATTGAAAAATTAATTTTAAAAAATCGACGCCTTATTGCGGCCTTTTGAAAAATTAATTTTAAAAAATCCACGCCTTATTGTGGCCCTTTGAAAAATTAATTTTAAAAAATCCACGCCTTATTGAGGCCCTTT